GGGGGGGGGGGGGGAAGAAAGTGGCCCTGGTTACTTTGGGAAGGTACGGGGTGGCGGATCGATGGATTTTGAATTTGGATAAAAATATTTTATGGGGAATTTTACTAGGGGACTTAATTTTCTTTTTTTTTTTACGTTGGCAGCAGTGGTTTACTTTTTTTTTTTTTTTCTTAACGAATGCCTTGGATAATTGTTTCGTTGGGAGGAATTTTAATTAATGAAGGATGATCTAGAAACTTTTTTTTTTTGTTGGATACTGCGGAGGCGTCGCGATAACCGAAACCCCATTAAATCTTTACGGTCAAGATTAACCTCACTTTTATGACCCCGTGGAAGCTTTGTGACTACAAAGTTACTGCCGCTTTTTCAAACGTGTAAACGAACCATAGATTCGAGATCTAAGGTAGCGCCGTGCCCACCCAGCGAACGCGAACCTGTTTAGATTTCGGTGGGGAACTGAAAGGCGTATGTTTCCGAGTGTCATACCACGCGCGATACACGGTCGATAATTTTGGGAGATTCGGTTGTAATTTTTGAAATCTCTCATTCCTACAATTCGGACGTTACCCAGTTTCGGTGGTTTTGACGAAATTTTGGCAAAAATTCAATTCGGTGGGAAATGAATTTTTTTTCAAAATTATCATCCACCAGACCCAAAACGCCAAGGGCCCTGTTACGAAGTTACCCAAGACTTTTTGATTCTCACGACGTATCCCCGTTTCTCGCTGTAACAGGGCCGCGCCTCTCGGAAATAAAATACCAATGTTTACGAGGCGATCTGTTTCTTTTCCATGTATTACAAAGGGATATCTAATTATTGTAAGTTGGATTATGGTACGTCAGTGCTTACGTTACGAGGCGGCCTCGTTAATGGGTCAGAGAGTGGGTGTGGACCCGGCATAAGTGGGCCTGAAAAATCCACGTGGCTTTAAGTAGACGACGCGAAAGTGAAGAGTCCCAGGGCAACGCGGAGGCATTCGAGGGGTGCAGGATGTCGGACATGGAGCCAATGGAAATTTCGAAGAACAACGGGAGGAGCGAAACGTCTTACGGGGAAGAAAGTAGAAAAAAAAAGATTGTTATCGAGATTCTAGGGTGGAGAGGAGTGAGCGAGCGAACGAGGGGGCGGGGGTGAGAGAGTCAGAATCTGTCAGGGCTGCCACACTCGGGTACAGATTTACAGGGCTGCCGCTGTTTTACGACCCCACAAAGTGCCGCCCGCTCCCACACGCGCGCACGCGCTCGAGCGCTTATAAACACGTCATTCTGTCGCCCCGGCAACCCCATTATTCAAAAGTTTACAATGCTCTTGTGCCTTGAGACAGGCCGGACCGCAAATTAAAGATTTCGCCGGGTAATTTTCACAGAGATAGGGTACAGTCGTCTTTGCCTTCTGGATATTGTCTTTCTTAAATTCGTTGACGTTACTTCAAAACAGTCTTTACTTTTTTATAATTGGAGGTTAGTAAGGTTAGCCCCTATGGGGTTATGGTTGAGAATCGCGACGACGTGAAAACATTGCAGAACTTCGAGGAAAGGATCGAACGACGCATGGATGAAGGTATCCTGCGTACCTGCGGTGCAGTGAAAAGGCGCCTTGTCGGAAGGCACCGATAACGATGAAATAAATAAAAAAAAAAAAAAGCAGGCCAACATAGTCGCGACGAGTATTGTAAAGCACCATAATCCTGGTCTTACGTGATTTGTCAACCGACCGAAGAGTCACTTGTAAATATGAACTGCGACTATTGCGCGGGCGAGCGGCGTACTTTTGTCGTCGGCAGCTCCTTTGAAAACGATTATAAGTCAGGCCTGAGATTGTCTCCCGTAGCCGAAGTGATAAATTCACCTCTGATCCTCATGTATAACCTGAAGGTTATATACGACCTCCAAATCCGCGTGTACGCGAACAGTGCCGAAGCACGGGCGACAAGGCTCAAGGCGCACCTGCAAATTTGCAATATCCAAACAGTACCAGGCACTGTGACTTATCAACGCTGTTCTGGCAGACGTCATGAGCGCAGCTGACAGGATGGTATTTTATAGCCGTGTAATCGAGTCGGCCAACGGGCCGGAAGTGGCCCCGAGATAGGGACCGGAAGTGGCCGTGAGACCTCACAGAGCGATTACAAGCCCAAGCCGAAACAGGTAGGTCCATAATTATACAATGGCTTGTCGCGCAGTTGCGAACGCTCGGGCACGGTTCAAGTGGAACAAAAATGTAACCCACGTGCTAGTAGCGAAGTAATTCGCGAATTAATTAGAGCACCGGCTCCTTACCGGAAACCTTAATTGACGCGTTTCCATGTTAACGGTTTATGATTTACGATGGTCGACGCGCTTGATACGTTTACTCGGCACTCTTGAGCCGTCCTCGCTCTGAGGTATCTTCTTCCTGGCAGGTAGCACAGCCTTTACCTACGGCGGCCTTAATGTCGGCTTTAACGTCGTAATTAGCCGCGGCGACAGCCACCAAGAGGGACACTTAGTATTCGAGAAAAGTGCCCGGGATATCTTGGTGGATCAGCGGCGATTAGTCAAGGGGACGTAGAAAAATGCCGGCAGTTAGCGAGACGTATGCATCCTCTGTCTGTATACGGCGTTACGACCGACGGAATCTTTCCCTTGTGTATCCAGTTTTCGACCTAACCGTTTAACCAGTCCGACTTTAGTATTAAAATTGAAAGTCGACCTTGACCTCGTGCTCCACGATGTAATTTAAAAAAGAAAACGAAGTTTTGTCAAATTTTTTTTACCTCCACGTGGATCCGATCTCGTTCGATCATACGTGGACGTACGAAACAAAGATGTGAAATTTGTACAGTCAAGATTAAAATTCTCACGAGGTCGTTGTACACTCCCCGCGGTAACGAGGTCTAAATTCAAATTGGTACCTTGACTCCTCCTCCTCGTTTCTTACTATAGGTCCTTCGCTAATTCCCGGAACGACAATCTCACATATGCTCACGCGCGTCTCGGGGCCGCCTATACGAACGTGCGCGTCGCTGCAGCGGGATCGTGTGTTACGGGGAACGTAGAGACGCGCGCGCGCGCGCGGTGCCACAACGGACTTTCGATTCTTCTTAGGTATTCGGCGCGTTGTATTCGCGGCTCTTGAGAATGTACGACGTCGTATCGCGTGGGACGATATAAACGATTCTTTTTTTTTTTCCTCATCCGATCGGATCGCCGATCGCCATCGACCGATTTATTCTATTCTGTTGTTTGCCATCTTAAACTCACCTACCCTGCACGCATACGAGTCCCGCCTGACTTTTGTTACTCATTGCTGGATTCCGTCCTGTGGTCGTTAATCTTATTACCACGTGTCACTGGAGCGTCTCCACTGACGTCACTGCTCCCATTGCACGCGATCAGGTAATAAAAATCGAAAATCAACG